TTGTGTCGTGTTGGTTAAATGTTGCAGCCCTGCCCCAACAGCCATCATTGTCAGGAAATGGAGTACTTCTGCCTTCATTCAAGAGGGCTCCCTGGTTGCCAGCGTCCCTTGGTCCCGTCCAAGGTGTTTATTGGGTCAATAGTGTTGAGAACCAGAGGACAAAGTGCTGATACCGACTGATCCCACATATGACCTTGGACTGAACATCCTGTGTTCCGTTCTGGGCCCAAAGTCAACTACGGATGAGCCCAACACACACATCTGCACTTGGATCCCAGACATGCCCCCAGCCTCAAGGTCCAGATGATCCCTGGAGGCTGGGTCAAGGGAATGCCTCCTTAGGGTCTCCTAATCGACCCTCCAGGAGCAGGGAAGAGGCCAAGGTAGGTAGGGGAGCCAGACAGACCAGAGTTGGAGATCAGGCAGTACAATACTCCCTCCTCCAGGGGAAAGGGGGACTAAGGGGACATCAGCTCAGATGGAGGATTAACACGCAGTATCATAAAGGTAAGAGCCTGGGAACGTCCTGACTGGGCTTTGTGGCCCAGGAGGGTGCCTGGAGCAGAGTCTCCTGACCAGGGGTGATGACACAGTGGCAGGGAAAGGACCCCAGTGGGGTCCCGGCAGCCAGGGAGACCTCTTCCAGGTCCCTGGTGGGCAGCCAGGACATCTGAGGAGGGTACGAGGAGTCTCCTCAAGGCTCTTGGCCAGTGGCCCAGGCATCTACTGGGAGAGGAACTGTGGAGGTTGGCAAGCTGGGGCTGGGACCCAGGCCTTTGGGACCTCCGCCCTCGTGCTCACAAGATGCTAATGCTCCTCCAGCGACCACGCCCGGAGGAAAGGGACAGAAGGCCCAATGGGCAGACTGGGCCTGTCCCCTTCACACTGCCATCTAATCAGCCAGAACCGTCCCACATGCCATCCCACTGAGCAGTCACCGAGAAGGACCAGGGAGCAGGAAGGGCCTTGGGGTGCGCCCCAGCAGCCCAGTCAATTGTGTCCCGGCATAGCTTCCTCCCCGTCTCCTCTTCCTTTTTTCCAAGGGCCCCCACATTGAAGACAGAGCCCCAGCCCCAGCAGCCTTCTTGCTGGCCCCCGGAGTGGCTTGGGACTTAATGGCGATTTGGCAGAAAGCAAGATGGACATGGCCTCTGCCACCACAGAGGGCGCAGTGGTGGGGTGAGTGGGGGCTGGGGACAGCACGCGGATTGGAAAGCGTGCAGAAGAGGCGTGGGTCCCCGGCTAGTGGGGACAGTGGGCTGAGGGAACTTCCAGGAGGTGGAGCTGTCCTGGTGAAAACCTAAAAGATGGACAATAGCAAGTAGGGGAGGAACCCGAGAGGGCGCTAAGTGACGCAGCTAAGGGATGGGGAGTCTGGAGCGCAGGAGAACCGTGGCTGGAGAAGCAGGCCCAGGGCAGGGCGCACAGCGCCACGCCGAGAGGAGTGAGCAGCGGCCCGGACCCAGTGAGGGCTGGAGAATGGTCTTGGCCGGCTGGTGGCACAGGCCAGGCTGGGTGCCGAGGGCCAGTTAGGAGGCTATTAGGGCACTTAGGCAGGCGGGGATGAGGGGGGCCGACGCTCAGGGAGGAGAGCCTGCGGAGACAGACCATACAAGGCTGGAGAGACTGACAAGGGTATGGACGCAGCTGTTTGGAGACAGAGTGACTCCTAGCCTGGGGGAACCAGGCGGCACAGTGAGGGAGGGGACGCAAGGGAGGGGCTGACTGTAGGCAGAAGAGACCATGTCTGGGTGGCAAGGCTGGGCTCAATGAAGCACATGGGGGGAGTGATGGAAGATGCTGGTCTAGAAGCTCAGCAGAGCTCTGGCCTGGGATCCAGTGATGCCACCGGGCAGAGGCTACCACCAGCGGCCAAACCGTCCTGCCACTGGCCACCAGGGAAACCAGTACAGGCCAAGGTCTTTGCTTTCCTTTGGACCACCATCCAGCACAGAAGTTCCCAGGGACCTCCTCCCCTGCTCCCTCCCATCCCATCCCATCTCCTTGACCTCCGCTCCCCTGTGGAGAGACTCCTGATTACAAGGTTTCGAGGGTAGCAGGGAGGCAGCACTTTGGGGCTCTTAGGACTGTTCCCAAGGGATGCGGAAGGGGCCCAGCCCCACCTCCATCAGAGCGCACTCCGGTGCAGACCACACCCTCCCATGCCCTAACTTGTCACAGATGCCTTCCCCTCTACGCAAGAGAACAGGATCATTTCCCCAGCCAGGAGTCCAGCCTTCGCCATGGTGAACCCAGAGAATTCTCACCACTGGCTCCTTGAGAGCTGGGTGGAAGCAGTGATTTGGGATTTTGTCACCAGAGATCTGCCGGGAGGCTGCCTGGGAAGGGGCTGATTCAGTTCCTCACCTGTCTAATCAGGACGATAATAATCAATCACTCATTCGTTCACTGAACAAATATTTTTGGGCCACAATCACATGCCCATGGCCTTGGGAATACATCCGCAGGGGTGGGGGTGGGGTAGTGGAGACAAAACAAACACAAAACTAAGTCCGAGAGAGCTGCGGGGTGGGGCAGGAGAAAATGAAACCAAGGGTGGACTGGGAGTGGCCTGGGGAGCAGTCCCTTGGTGCTGCGGGGTCCTTGGGGGTTGGGGGGCTGGGTGAGAGGACCGGCCACAGCAGGGCCCCTGCACCTAAGGCCCTACTTTGAGTGCCAGGGGCTGGTGACCTCAGGACTTCAACTGCTGGTACTTGGTGGGGGCTGGGGGAAGGGTATAGGGAGGGAGAGGATAAGAGGGGGACTCAGGGAAGGGAGATCAGGGTTAAGTAGATAGTCTTTTGCATATGAAATAGGCGGTGTGGCTTCTGTCAAGAGGGACTAACTAGGCTCTAGCTATGGGTAACTAGAGGCTGACAGTGCCCAGCTCAGGGAGGGGACAGGGAGCCTCAGGCGCTGGACTGTTGATGTGATGTGAGGGGAGTGGGGAGGTGGGACCTGGCTGAGAGTGGGGGTGGGGAGGAACCTGAGCCGCTGAGGACTGGAGTGAGGCCAGGCACTTCTGTCAAGGGGACTAGGGTGGGGGTAAAAGTACTTGACCACTTTCTGGCGGAGCAGAATCAGCCTGGGAAGTGGCCAGGGCGGTCTGGGCAGGAGTGTGACCACAGAAGGCTGTTGGCCCAGGATGACGTTATCCGCACGAAGTCACTCACCTCCTTACCAAATCCAGGCATCCAGCTCTGTTCCACCATGCCACCCCACCCTCTCTTTGGGCTTTATAACCTCGAATCTAAACATGACCCCTACTTACACCTAAAAAGGAAATTTGGGAAAAAATTAATGTCACATTTGTTTAAATTGTTATAGAAGAAAAGTTATTCACAGATGCTCATGAGTAACCAGAAATGTTCATAAAACACTTTGTGTTATGATGGGAAAGACAGGAAGAATGCTTATCATTTATTTAGTGCCTGCTATATGCCTTCTCTTCACTGGTGGGCAGCAACAGCCCCTTTCTCCCCCCCATCCCCCGCCCCCAAGTTCTCTGCCACTCTGAGCAAGACAGCTTAGTGGGCTCAAGGGACAGCTACTGAACATACTCTGCCCAGAGAAAACTCCTGTCTGCACTTGGCCCAGGAATGGAGGCCTCCCCGTTCTGACTGCCTTCCCCCTTCTGACTGCCTTTTGAGCCCTGAGTGGAGGGAGAAGGTGTAGAGTTTCATTTGCCAGGGAGGTAGGGCAGGGGATTGGGGAAAGGTCAGTGGGAGCCCGAGGAAGCCTAGGGGAAGTTATACTGGAAGATACTGGAAGGGTGAGCACAGCTAGGAGAGACAGCCTGAGTGGGTGGGGTGGGGATATGACACAACTTCTGGGGAGACAGTCCCAGGTCCTGCGGGGCTGTATGATACCCTGCCTTCTAGGGCTGCACTCCATGGCACTTCCCACGTGGGTTTTATGGCAAGTTTCCTTAGCCCCTGAGCTGGGCCATATCTGCAGGTGACTCAGCAGTGAATGAATCACAACTCAGGGCCTCAGGCAAATACCTAAAGTCTCAGAGCCTGTAAAAGGGGAAGCTTGTCTCTCCTGGGATCTCTGGGAGGGGGAAAAAAAAACATGATAAAGCATTTCCGATTCTAAGAAGGAAGCCTGACATATAGCAAGTGCTGGGAGCATGGGGGGAGAAACTGAGCAATCACGTAGGACTCGGGGTACGTGGAACACAGATGGCCCTGACCTCTCTCCACCCCAGTCTCACACTCAGCCTGCGCTTCTGGTCTCATCAAACTGCCAACCTCTCTCTAAGTGCCCCCTGCCCCTCGTGGGCTCTGCTTTTGGTTAGTATCTGTTTTCTGGATGCAAAAAGCCCTGGCCCTTGCTTCATGTGGCCCTCTCACTCCCCTCTCCTTCATTTAAGGACCTCCTCTCTGCTCACCCTCCGGACAGCCTTGGGGGCGGGGCCGCACACACACCTGTGCGGTGGAAGAAAGTTCTCCGGCTGCACAGAGGGCCAGGTGAGAACGCCCAGCCCCAGCCCTAGAAGTGGGGAATGCCTCAATGGCCAGGGAAGGAGGCCGAAGTTGGCCCTAGTTCTTCAGGTTCCTGGATCTTGACACCCTTCTGGCCATCCCCAAAGGGACGGCGGCTGTGGCAGCTGGTAGCAGCTGTCCAGGGCCAGGAGTCCTTCCAACCCTCACTGCCATTGGCCATCCTGTCAGGGAGTGCCACGGTTACTGCCTGACGGAGTGCTCTTGCCCCTCCTCATCCATCCCTGCCTTTCCAATAAGACCCTGCTTTTTGTTTTTTTAATTTTTAAAAACATTTATTTGTGAGAGACAGAGTGAGACAGAGTGTGAGTTGGGAAGGGGCAGAGAGAGAAGGAGACACAGAATCTGAAGCAGGCTCCAGGCTCTGAGCTGTCAGCACAGAGCACGACGAGGGGCTTGAACTCACGAACCGTGAGATCACGGTCTCAGCTGAAGTTGGACACTCAACATAATGAACACCCAGGTGCCCCAAAACCCTGCTTTGGGGGTGGAAATGAAGTGGTTGCACAATCCCACAATCCTTCAGGGCTCCTTGGCAGCCAAGTGCAGCCACGTGTGGATTTCAGGGGACAAACATGTTCCTCTTCCCGCCCTTTCCGGCTGGCCCGGGCTGGAAGGCAGACAAGTGATGGCTGCCATCTCTGACCACAAGACGGAGGCCACGTTGGGAGGCTGGAAGAGCAAATGCTAACTGTGGTGCCCCCAAGGACCAGCCCTGGATTGCCCACATTAAGGTGAGAGAGAAACCTCTGTCTTATTTGTCCCCCATCACTTTTACATCAGCAAACCTGATCCTGAGACACAGAACTGTAATTCCTCCTGCCCTCTCTCCCTGCCCTTCCCTCTTCTCTCCACCAACACTGATGCAGCATCTAGCATGTGGGGAGCAGAGGAGTAACACAGAAGCCGCTAGAGGTGATCTAGAAAGGGTAGGGATGCCAAGAAACAAGGGAACAGGGGTGGTACAGACAGAGGGAGACAGAACCTGGGGAGGATTTGTCAGGGTGGGGGTGGGAGGAAGAACCTTCCAGAAGAGCAGGGGCATCAGGAACTCCCCACACACCCACACCTACCCCCGTTCTCCCCTGGAGGGCCCAGTGTACTTTCCTGATGAGGCCATAGGAGGGGATGGGTGCCAGCCTGGGTAGAGGGGTGCCTAGTGAGGGTGTGAGGCCGGACACAGGGAAGAAGTGTCTCCCCAGACCTACGCATTGTCCCCAAATCAAGGCAACAGGTCTAGAGTGGGCCACGGGGACCCCACATCATTCCTGAGCCCCGGTGCTGCCCACACGGCTGGCTTCTTAGCAGCGGGCTTCCACTGGGTCCCTGTGGGACTCAGTCCTGCTGTGCAGACAACATGTACACAGGGCCAAGTGCTAAGGACATCAAAGAAGGCCCTACACATTGCCGTGACGGGCTGACCCAGGGCAGCAGTGCCCTGGTATATGCTTAGCAGCTGGTTCTCGGAGGGGAAAAATCACCCTATTCTTCAGTCTTTGCAGACTTCTGTGGTCTGAACCCTCCATGACAGTAATGCAGGGGCTGTAAGCATGACGTGCTGGAAGTCAGAAGGGGGAAGGCCGGAGACGGGCCCTCAGGAGCGGCTCAGCCACACCATCACCCTACCGGTGTCTTGACCCTGAGCCAGCAGGTTGCCTGGCAGTGGTTTGGGTTCTGGAACCTTCCGTCCAGCCTGTACCGGGTCCATGGCAGGTTGGCCTCTGCCAAGGGCTAGAGGAAGAACCAAGGGACCATCAGTCACAAGAGCACTCTCTTGAGGTGCTCACTTTTCCTTGACTTCTGCCTCTGCCTCTTCCCCCACCCCTTCCAGGTGTTTTCTCTCCGTCCCATGGCTTCTCCTCACCTCCAGCCCTCCTCCTCTTAGTCAGTGGGATCATTCCCCAGCATCTGGAGCCTGGGCCTCCTCCTACCCGCCCCCCCCAAAGCTGGTTCTCTATGCCCCAGGCTCGCAGGCCCTGCCCCCACACGATGCTCTAGCAGCTGTCTCCTTCCCTGGCTCTCACCCCCTCAGTCCCCCCGCCCTGCTGCCAACCCCCTGCCTGTCCCAGAGGAGGTCTGCACAGACACTTGCTGCTCGAGGAAGCTCCTCAGCCTCCCTGCCGGGCTCTCCCATCCCAACCCCTTCTGGCATCATCTGCTCTACCTCCAGGCAGCTTGGAGCCAGGCCCCCAGCCGCCCTGGCAGCCTGGGGCACTGAGGCTTTATGGCCCCAGGGTAGGACACAGATCTGGGCCCCCAGCCCCCGGGCTCCAAGGTGCCAGCCCTGCAGGGGAGTTGCTTAATGACCTTGTGAGCAGTAATTACACCCCAGGGCCCGCTCTTAATAACCACGTATTCTCCCTGTCAATGTGCCTTAATTGAAAATGAGTAGGCGATACAAGTTGCTGTGAAGTTGGCTGGCAAGCCCTTAACGTGATATTAATTGTAGTAATTAGTAGTCACTTTGTGTTGGAGTCATCTATAAATAGGGGGTCCATTAGTTTAGCAAAAGAGCGTGATTTAAAATGCAAATAAAAGCCCAATTAGACAGATAAATCACTCGTCTTTCCCGGCAAATTATCATCTTGGGGGTGGGGGTGGGGGCGGGGGCGGCGGCGGCAGCCACTCTGAGGAGGCACTGGTCAATCCGGGAGCTCCGGATTCTCACCCCTTGGGAGGGGCCTATCTGGGACACGGTTCCTTTAAACAAGTTTGCTCAGGCTCCCTCGGGGTGGCTGTCACTCTTACTCCGAGGCGAGGCTGGTGGTCAGCCTCCCAAGTAGCTCCTCCCCCATCTGCTGATTGGTTTCCTTTGTCGACTGGAGCGCTTTTTAAAGGCACAGTAGCGCCTTCAGGCCCTGGGAGAGTGGGCTGGGGTGGGGGAGGGGTCCCCTCTTTAAATGCTCTCTTCACTGTCTATTGGGAACCCACGGATGCCATGTGTTATTCTGTGACCCTAAAGAGTTAAAAAACCAGACCCACCACATTATTCTGGGGGTAGACAACTTACTCTCCACTTGGTACTCCCACAAAAACACCTAGGAGGGTTGCTGGAATCACACCCCCCCCTCCATATTTCTCACAGGCTTTGGGTGACTATTGGAAGTGGACATGACTGGACGTGGAAGGGGCCAATTAGGGAAGTGTTAAGGCCCGAGGGACGAGTCTAGTTCAGCCTTCATTTCATTAGAGCCTCACAAGTCCTCCACACCTTCTCCCAGGCCTGGGTTTCCACCCGCACAACTAGGGAGGCGGTGGAGATGCCCCTGCGCCCTTGGGTCCTTTTGGTTAGTGCAGCCACCAGAGACCTGGGGTTCAGAGCCCGGATCTGAGCTCTTCCCACCCCGCCTCTGCCTGCCACCGCCCCCTCCAAGAACCCATCACTCCCTTAGGGACAACTGAGGCTGACTCTTTCAGGGCTATCTGCTTTTTTTCATGAGATGAGGCAGCCCGGCCCAAACCCAGGTGAGAACAGTCCATTCCAAGAGGACCTTCCACCATTGTCCAAGGAATGAGGGGAGTCAAAGCAGCTTATCCTTTATTCTAATTTATTATTATCCTTTCATGACACACTGCTTGTAACAGGTAGTCATACTTGTGGTTTATGTCCTATTTGACAAAAGAAAATGTTGGCAACCCTGGGTGCATCCCAAAAACGTTTTAGAAAATTCTGCCAGGTATAAAATCCAAATGTCTGGTTGGAGACTGAATAGGGACCTGAGGCCGAATGAGTCAGCTGTGTGGTGGGGGGAGAGAGAGAGAAAGTGTGTGTGTGTGTGTGTGTGTGTGTGTGTGTGTGACGTGGTGGGGGGGGGGGGGAGGTGAAATAGGGATGTGTTTCAGCGAAGATTTCCCTCTCTCTGAAATAGCCTATGAAGACAGCTGCATCACAGATAAAGAACTAGAAGGGGGTCCAGGCACTGTATATCCCATCTCCCTATAATACAGATGAGGAAACTGAGGCCCAGGGAAGGAAAATGACTGGGCCAAGCCGCATGGTGAGTTAGTAGTCTGGCCTCTGGCCAGCGCAAACCTCCCTCCCTGCCTACCTGCCCCCTGTCCCTGTGTTGGCCTCAAGCTTAAGAAGTAGATGTAGGACACGTGGGGTCTGCCGTGGTTGGCTGTTGAAGCTCTAGCTCTTCTGCCACGGGGACATTGGTTGACTTCTAGAAAACAGCCCTGCGAACAGCAGACCAAGAAGTTCCTAGAGGAGCAAAGGGCACTCAGACAAGGCCACTCTGGGCCAGCGGCCCCTTAGTGTGACATGCTTCTCTGCCAGTGACAGCTCCAGCCCACTTGAATCTTCCCACCTCCTAGGTGTCAGTGAAGATCCCCGTTACTGAATCCTCCCCACTTCTGGGCAGCACGCAGCCCTGCACTGCCTCTGCTTTCCTGGCCTCTTCTCAAATCGCTCAGCACCAACCTGAACCCTCCAAGAGGACTCTCTTGGGACCCTCCTTTTGAGATTCCATGGAGATTCGGTAGGGTATGTTCTTTTCTGCACAAGCTAAATAAACCTAACCTTTTTTGGACTACAGGTGTGTTCCTGGTGGTTATTTGTTGCTGGGCTCTGAACATCCAACAGATACACGAACCATAGTGTTCCAGGCAACGAGGTGGTGACAAAAAGCAACAGAACTCACAACAGTGCGTGGAGACAGACAGTAACCAGACTTACCGTGGAGACAGTTTCGTAATGTATAGAAATATCGAATCACTATAACTTACACCTGAAACTAGGGGGATATTATATGGCAGTGATTCTTAAAAAAAAAAAAAGAATTCACAACTGTGTGGTACCAGCTTACAGGTAGATATACAATATCTACAATGTGACCCGTGGAATGGAATTGAGAGTCCAGAAATAAAATCATGCATTCGTGGTCAACTGATTTTCAACAAGGATGCCAAGATCATTCAAACAGGGGAAAGAAGAGCCTTTTAAACAAATTACACTGGGGAAACTGGATAGCCACATGGCAAAGAATAAAGTTGGACACTTGATCCTATACTATATTAAAAAAAAAATTAACTCAAAATGGCCCAAAGACCTACCTATAAGAACTAAAATTAGAAAATTCTTAGAAGGAAACATTGGGATACCTCAGATTTGGCAAGGGATTCTTAGGTATGACACCAAAAGCACAAGCTGCCAAAGAAAAACGTAAATTGGACTCCATGAAAACTAAAACCCTGTGGGGTTTCTTAGGATGCCATCAAGAGAGTGAAAAGAGAACCCCAAGACTAGAAAATATCTGCAAATCATATATCTGATAAGAGACGTGTATCTAGAATAAAGAACTCTTACAACTCATTAGTAAAAAGACACATAACCCAATTTTTAAATGGGCAAAAGATCTGAAGAGATATTCCTCCAAAGAAGATATACAAGTAGTCCATAAGCACATGAAAAGATGCTTGGTATCATTAGTCTCAAGGAAACACAAATCAGAACCGTGAGATAGCACTTGACACTCAAGTCTAGGACGGCCATGATGGAAGAATCAGATAACAAACATAGGAGAGGATATGGGGACATTGGAACCCTCAAACTCTTCTGGTGGGCATGTAAAGTGGTGCAGCCATCAGAAAGCAGTCTGGCATCAAAAGTTAAACCACACAGTTGCCATACGACCTGGCAATTTCACTCCTAGGTATGCACCCAAAGCAATGAAAACATGCCCACACAAAATTGTGTACATACATATGGCAGCGTTATTCATAATGGCCAAAAGGTGGAAACAATCCAACTGTCCAGCTGATGAATGAGTGGATAGACGAAATGTGGCTTATCTGTACAACGGAAGGGTATTCGGCCATGAAGAGGAATGGAATGCTGTTATGTACTGCTACAACACGGATGAATCTAGAAAGCATTATGCTTATTAATAAGCAAAGGAACTCAGCCACGGAAGACTACATCTCATGTCGTTCCATTTATGAGAAACGTCCAGAAGTGGCAAATCTGTAAAGACAAAATAGATTAGTGGTTGCTTAGGGCTGAGGGGAGGGAAGGCAATGGGTATGGGCTTTTCTCTGAGGTGAGGAAAAACCGTTCTAAAATTGACTCCACAGTCAATGGAGTCAATGACAATTGTGCTTATCTGTGAAAATACTAATCCATGATACTATTGACCTGTATACTTTAAGTGGGTGAATGTATGGTGTGTAAATTACATCTCAATAAAGCCGTTTCAAAGAAAATAGACCTAGGCCCTTCCCCACAGAGGCTCCATTCTAGAGGGGAGGGTCTGCGTGAAACTGATCTCTCACAAATAGTAGTTTCCACCAGACACAAAGATGGAGGAGCAAGGACCACGAGGCAAGGCAAGGAGGGCTGCATTTAACCGGGAACAAGTGTCCGTGAAGCCTGCACGGGGAAGTGACTTTTTAAAATATCTTTTTTGGGGGCTCCTGGGTGGCTCAGTCGGTTAAGCGTCCAACATAGGCTCAGGTCATGATCTCATGCTTTGTAAGGTTGAGCCTCATGTCAGGCTCTGTGCTGACAGCTCAGAGCCAGGAGCCTGCTTCGGATTCTGTGTCTCCCTCTCTCCCTGCCCCTCCCCTGCTCTGTCTCTCTCTTAAAATTAAACATTAAAAAAATTAAAAAATATAAACTATCTTTTTATTTTGTAGCTTTAATGAGTCATATATATCCTGAAACTCACATCAAATGGACAAGTCAATATTTAGTAAATTGACTGGGTTGTGCAACCATCACGATAATCCAGTTTTAGATCATTCTTATCACCCAGTGAAATTATTTTTTTTTTAGTGTTTAGTAGTTTTGAGAGAGAGAGAGGCAGAGAGAAAGAGTAGGCAAGGGAGGGGCAGACAGTGGGAGACACATAATTGGAAGCAGGCTCCAGCCTCTGAGCTGTCAGCACACAGTCCGACGCGGGGCTTGAACCCATGAACCCTGAGATCATGAGCTGAGCCAAGAGTCGGACACTTAACTGACTGAGCCACCCAGGCACCCTGATTCCTTGAATGCACATACGGTTAATCCAGTTCCTGTGACCACTCATCTGCTTCCTGTTCTCATAGGTTTGCCTTTCATGGAAATTTCATATAAATGGAATCCTAGGATATGTGATGTCTTCCATCTGGCTGCTTTCAACGAAGCATGACTTGAAGGTCAGTGTCATGGCAGTGTGGTAGGTAGGTAGTTCATGCCCTTTCATTGCCAAATAGTACTCAACCATACAGGCAGACCACATTTTGCTCATCCATTCACCAGGTGATGGGCTGCTAGGTTGCTTCCAACGTTTGGCTTTCATGAACAAAGCTGCTCTGAAAATTTCACAGCAAGTGTTTGTATGGTGGGATGTTTTCATTTCCCCAGGGTAGGTTCCTAGGAGTGGATTTTCTGGGTCATATGGTACATTTAACTTAAAAAAAAAAAACCTGCCACACTGTTTTCCAAAACATTTAAGCTGAGACCTAACAGATGGGAAGGAGCCAGCCAGGCAACGAGTGGGGGAGCGTTCTGGCAACCCATGTAAAGGCCCTGCGGCCGAGGAAAGAGAAACTCACTGGGATAGGGGAGCTGGTTCCCTTGGGGGAACTGGGTAAGATTTTTTCTACTGAGCCACCTGAAAGAGTATGAAAATGAATCTGTTAGAACGAGACCCCAAGGTAAGAGGGTCCATACTAGATGTGTACAGCAAACAGGAGAGAACAGGAATATAAGTGACATGAGAGAGGCTGCCATTTAGGACACAGAGGAGGGGACAGCACCAACTTTGGAGGGAAGCTGACCTGGGTTGCAATTCCGGCTCAGCCTCTGGGATGTTGGACACATTTCTTAACCTCTCTGAGCCTCAGTCTCTTCAGCTGTACAATGGGAACTCACTTCGCCCTCTCCTAGGAGGTTCTAAAGACTGGCAAGAATGTGTCCTGTCAAGAACCTGGGAGAAGAGGCCAGAAGCAGCAAAGGGTGTGGGGGAGGCCCTTCCCTGAACAGAAGCGAAGAGTGGAGGGGCCGGGGAGAGCCAGGCTGAGGAGGCTGGAGGGCATGAGGTGCCTGTGTCCTGGGGGGCACAACTTTACCCAGGCAGCAGTGAGAAATGGCTGGAGGGCTTGATCTGGCCAATGGGGGAGGCCCTGAATTAGAGCAGCCAGGCAGAGGAGGGGCCAGTCCTTCTGACGTGGCTGCAGGCATCCCAGCAAGGTTACTAGAGCCCAGTGGAGGCAGAGGGAGAGGAGGTAAAGAGGGTGGAGGGGCCGCCTGGTGACCGGAGTGGGGGAGTGGGGGATGGAGAAGTCTGGCACGCCTCCAGGGCTGGCGTGGACTGAACGCACAGGGGAAGATGGAGGCGGAAGGCCGGGGACAGCAGGCTTGGAGGAGGGGGAAGACTGCGGTGTTCTACCAGGGACGCCCTGGGTGTGACGTGCTGGTGGAGAGCGCCCCCCGGGCTCCGGGCAGATTTCCAGAAGAGCGGATCCTGTCTCTGGGAGACCCAGAGTGTGGACTCGGGTGTCCTCAGGAGTGAGCCCCTCAGGCTCCTCGGCACCACCGTGCCTGTGACCACAGAACCCCTTTCCTCATCCGTCTTGTTCCAGGCATGGGAGAAACCATTCCCTGATTCCTCACCTCCCTGGGGGTTCCCGCTGTGGCTTCCCACAAGTCCCTGAAGGGTTGGGAATCATTCTATCACATGACCCCACCATAGGGTCTCTGAAGCCAGCTCCCTGCATTACCCCTGCCCTTGCCCTCTGCTTCCTTCCATGACCCACGACCTCTCCTAACCTTGGGGCCTGGGCCAGTGACCCCTGCACCCAGAAAGCAAGGGTTCCCCTTAGCAAGGGGTCTGCTAATGTCCCCAGTCTCCTCTAGGAGCTCCTGAGTGAGCTAGGCGCGTCCCCATCCAGCATAACCTTACTTGCTGTTGGATATGGTCATGTGAGTCTGGCTAACGGGGTATAAGTAAAAGTGTCATTTCCAAGCAGTGTCTATGCAGGAAGGAGGTGAGGCCTTCATCATTCCTTCTTCCTGGGATGTGTATGTAATGTCTGGAGCTCCAGCAGTGACCTTGGATCATGAGGTGGGGTGACCTTGGGAATAGAAGCCACACACAACGGAGCAAAAAGTCTGACATACCCGACATGGTGCACACTGTACATTGCATTCTATGATAAACAGAACACGGGATACAATGTGAAGCGTTTCCCTGGAGTCTGGGCCCGATACCAGAGTGCCGCGTCGGCCTCAACTACTAAGGGTTCTGCACCCAATTTCAACATGGAGGGGCTGTGGTTTCCCCACATCACCAAGCAATTCTCCAACACCAGCTGGGTGGCCTGCATAACTCAATTGTGACGCTGTCTACCCGGAGATAGTGTCAGATCCCACAGATTAAGGGCTTAGTCCCACACGACTGCCTCCACCGCTTCAGATGCCAGTCACAAGCCCAGGCTGTCACCTGTTCTGACCGATTAAATCAGAGGTTCATATGACCCCCTCCTCGGGTTTTGTTAAGTTGCTAAAGCAGCTTACAGAACTCGGAGAAACACTAGATTACCAGGTTTTATTATCAAAGGATACAACTCAGGAACCAGCAGCAGATGGGAGAGAGGCACATGGCAAGGTATGGGAAGGGGGCTTGGGGATTCCATGCCCTCTGAGTGTGCAACCTCCACGTGATCAGCAACCCCGAAGCTCTCTGAACCCCGTCTTTTTGTTGTTTTTTAGCGAGGTTCCATTACATTGGTACGATGGATTAAATCTTTAGCCATGGGTGATTGAACTCAGTCTCTGGCCCCTCTC